GTATATACGTACTTATACACACACACATACATACATATATATATATATATATATATATATATATATATATATATATATACCTTAACTGTAGTATACTAACAGTATACTAACTTAAATGGCAAGGATGTAGAAATTTATGGTAGCCTTATCTTTCTCTCTGTGTGCCTAAACTGACAAACTACTTCTAATACAGTGTACTTGCCTCGAAGGAGATTGATAATAATGCTAATGTATGAGTGTGTACGTTTTATTCATTGACATTTATACCATGAATTGTCACCCCACCTTATGCCTAAATGAATTGACTTCAAGGTCACAGTCACATGGAATATGAATTCAGGAATAAAAAATGTAAGTGTAATGTACAAACTGACGAAACAACGGACGCAAATTATAATATCATATACTCGAATATATATATAGAGAGAGAGATAGACAGATAGATATTGACAAAGGCATCTAGCGTGGGCCACATGAACAATTACCTATAGCACCACAGAGAAAGAAACAGAAATAGTAAGTAATAATCAAATAGATAATAATATATATCAGTATACCACTATTCATTTTATATTAGTTATATATTACACACCATGAGGTAATAGTATTATTTAATCGTGGTCGCACTGGGTAGATGGGCAGGGCCACCGATCTTGGTCCTGCCTAGCAAACCAAATCAATTGGAGTTAACCCTGCTCTTAGGGATATTTTGTGCACAAACCATGGGTAACAGTTTTGTGACAAAGATTTTGAATAGTTGCATGAAAAAAAATGCCATTGGAGGAGCGTGTTGTAGGACAATCATCCTTCTGCCGTGTGCTATGTCACTGATTAAAGCCTGGATCTTGAAATATAAAGGACACAAATCGACAAAAGACAAACTTGTTCAATAAGGTAACATTGCTACTTCGTCTCACTGCCTCAGCCCTACCAAAGCTTTGTGTCTTATTCTTTTTCATTCAGTCATCTGTACTTCGCCACTGTTTGTTACATTTAGGGCTGAATATACAATATCTATATATTCACATATGTAATGGTTTGGAAAATCTAGAATTATTACCACCTTATGCAAAGTTTCATCAAAGACAAAGAAGTCCAGTTCCAGAAACAAATTAATTGAATATAGTCCATGTTTACCAGCCAATAGACTCAAATAGTGTACTGTAGAAAAATTAATGCTTTAGCTGTTGGCCATTTGGCACGTTCATTCATGTATATCAAAACTGTGAACTTCACGATTTTTAGTTGATGATAGCTGTAATAACCATTGACAAGGAAGACAAGATGTCTCTATACACTACCAATAACTTTTGCCCATCAACAATAGCACACTTTCGTCAAAATTATGATAAATTTGCAAAGGTACTGAGCCAAACTAAACTGTGCTTTGCATTTTTAATAGCTTATCAGGCTAATGTATAAAAATATGTATAGATGTCAAATACAAATCAGATTAAGATAGCAATATTACCTCATGGCATAGCATTATCCTCTTTCACCCCTGGCTTATTTTTCATCTTTGTTGTACAGTTCTTTTGTTTCTCAGGAAGGCCATGTTCTGTCTCTATGGAAATCTTCGGAGTAGAGCCGTCAGGAGGATCAAAAATTATGTAAACAGTCAAATCACATTCAACACACACTGTAGAAAGGAAGCAAGAACTTATGTTCATAGTAAATCTTGAAGGACAAAGTTCAGTGTAACACATGGGACATTCCTCAATTGCATGGCGGGCAATGAGGTAATACCCATTTGATGGGGTCCTTATGATCCTTTTCTTAGCACCTCCTTTTACTCTGGTAAAATGTGTCTTGGATTTGGATCTTTTTGCAGGTTTTGGTTTTGTCTCAGGGCCTTTCTGTAACTGGGTTGCATTATGAGAGGTTTCTCCATCCAGAAACTTTAAACACTGATCAATTGCATTTTTCCATGGTTTAGATACTTTCAATTTTTTTAGAGAGCAAATATATGAAGTCAGTCTACTGGTGACCAATCCATGGGGTGATTCTTCTGACAACCTGTTTGAAATATATTCTGAAGGTGTCATACAATATGTCAGAGTGTGTGGACATGTTGCACTACCTATCCTCTGAACTATCCAATTGACTCTAAAGGCTTCACAGCTGGATATCTTCCAATGGCACCGAGTGCACTCACTCTCACCGAAGAATAAATGCTCTTTAAAGTGTATATCTTCTACCAACTTCCCACATGTATAGCATTTCACACTTTTGGTAGAATGTTTCGACTTTCCTGGCATGGAGCTCAAATGACTCGACTCCCATGGCGTGAGGGTATAGCTTCTCGGTTTTCCTGAAGTGTGGCTAGGATTTCCGGAAATTCGGGCAAAGTTTCTCGGCTTCCCTGACAAGGCGTGGTCTCTAACGGTTCCCGATAAGTTGCCAGGCCGTTCTTCGACTGCATTCTCGTTTAGACCTCGCCATACGAGGCTCTTGTCCCTCGCAGAACCAAGTCCGTCTGTCGTCGGGGATCGAACACCGACTGTTCTCGCCATCTTTCAGGTTTTGGAAAGTGAAGAAACACTTCATTAGTTCTAGCATCGATAAATACAAGGGTAAGGCCACTTTATATAAAGAAAAAGAAAAATCTCTTATGTGCATTTTCGACAGCAACATAATTTATCTGGCGACACAAAAAACATCAATGTTGTATCATCCAGCACATCCGAAAATACCAATGCAACTTACATTACTTTAGCAACTGTACAGACTATATCCACAATGTTTTCATTTGCCAAGAAACCGTTCTGCAATTCGAGTCACTAATGCAAAGTTGACTCAGCGATGGC